CTCACCCAGGGCAGGGTCTGCTCCACAGCTTCCCTCGCTCCCAGCCACGGGCCCTGCCCGGCTGTGATGGCGGAGGGGCTGTGTCCTGAGCAGGCGGCCTGCTGTCCCCTCGCTGGGCCGCTCCGTAGCTGCGGGGACGTGTGCCTGGTGACATGGCCTCCCTGAGCCTCGGCTGCCTCCTCTGTGAGCTGAGGATCCGGAAGCAGATGATCCTCAAGCCCCTTGCCTTTCGTAGTTTGGGATTCGTCCCAGGCCAGAGCATTCTAAAATGAGGGCTCTAGCTCTTCGAAGGGGATCTCCTGCCCCACCAGCATTGTTCCTTGTTTAAAATTAAGGTATAGCATATGTGCCTTAACATGAACAGATCTTGAGTGTCCAGCTCCGTGATGTTTTGTACGTGTTTATTCAGAGAAATTACCATGGAGATCAAGATGTGGGACTTGAGCCCCGACCGGTTTGGCTCAGTGGATAGAGCGTCAGCCTGAGGACTGACAGGTCCACGTTCGATTCCGGTCAAGGGCATGTGCCTTGGTTGCGGGCACATCCCCAGTAGGGGGTATGCAGGAGGCAGCTGGTCGATGTTTCTCTTTCATCGATGTTTCTAACTCTATCTCTCTCACTTCCTCTCTGTAAAAATCAATAAAATATATATTATTTTTTTAAAAAAGAGGTGGGACTTGAGCCCAAATCTCCTGCCCGAATCCCGTCCCAGCCCGCACCCTCCCAGGTAGCCCTGCGCTGGCCTGCACCGGCAGGTCTGCCGGTGAGCTTCGGGCAAACGGAACCACACAGGGTGTGTCTGTGTCGGCTCCTTTCACTCGGTGGTCATGCTGGCTGTGTGACTCCGCATGCCGCAGGTGACTAGTCCATCCGTCTGTTCTGCCACATCACCGAGTCTGAGGGTCCCGTTGTATTCGGTGCCACAGCTAGATTCTTTCCCTCTGCTCTTGCCAAACCTCTAGGTTGTTTGCAGTTTGGTGTGCTTATGAGTAAAGCTTTTGTGAATATTTTTGTATATGTTACATTTATTTTGAACAGGTAAGGTGATCCTATGTCCTCCTCCGCCCCACCCCCATCCCCGCCCCAATTCCAAAAGGTGCTGTGTTCATTTTCTAGGGTAATTGTAACAAATTATCACAAGCTAGGGCGTTTAAAACAACAGAAATGGCCCAGCCGGTGTGGCTCAGTGTTGAGCGTTGACGTGTGTAACAAAAGGTCCCAAATCAATTCCGGGTCAGGGCACATGCCCAGGTTGTGGGCTCCATCCCCTAGTTGGGGGGAGGGGCATGCAGGAGGTAGCCAATCAATGATTCTCTCTCATCGTTGATGTTTCTATCCCTTCTTCTCTGAAATCAGTAAGAATATATTAAAAAGTAAATAAGACAACAGAAACTTATCTTCTCAGGGTTCTGGAGCCTAGGAATCTGAGACGGAGATGCCTCATGCAGCTCCTGGTGGCCCCAGGGGGTCCTGGGCTTGTGGCCACATCCCTGCCATCTCTGCCTCTGTCTCCACACAGCCTCTTCTCGCTGCGTCTTACCTCTGTGTCCCTTTGGGGCCCACCCAGGGAATCCAGAATGGTCTCATCTGCAGATCCTTAACTTGATCACATCTGCACACACACCCCTCTCCCCAAATAAGGTCACATTCACAGGTTTTGGGAATTAGGACCCAGGCATATATTGGGGTGGGGAGGGACACCATTTAACCCACCACAGGTACTGAATGCAGGGGGAGGAGGGACATGCCCTCCCATCGTTGTCTCCCAGGTCCCCGGCACCCCTCTAAGAGTCCCAGGGTGTCCTTCCACAGTCAGCTGTGCTTATGTAGGAATCTAGGTGCGTGCGTATGTGCATGTGTCATGTTTACACAAATAGCAGCATTCTCTGCTCTTGGCCTTTCTTTCTTATTGTATCTTAATGATCATCTCAGAGCTGGATGGCTGCCTCGTTCTTCCTAGCAGCCGCGTGGTACTCGGCTGCGTGGGTGTGCCCGCTCTCTCTGTAACCCGTCCCCTCTCGCAGGGCATTCAGCTTGCTTCTCAGCACTTGCTGTCTCCGCCAGCGCCGCCTCAAAGACCATCGTCGCACGTGCTGTCTTTGTCCACGTGCACGAGCCTATCTGGGCAGCAAATTCCAAGCTTCCCTTCTTTGCTTTTTAAAAGACAATAGAGGGCTGAAACAGGTTTGGCTCGGTGGATAGAGCATCAGCCTGCGGACTCAAAGGTCCTGGGTTCGATTCCGGTCGAGGGCATGTTCCTTGGTTGCGGCCACATCCCCGGTGGGGGGTGTGCAGGAGGCAGCTGATCAATGTTTCTCTATCATTGATGTTTCTAGCTCTCTGTCCCTCTCCCTTCCTCTCTGTGAAAAATTAATAAAATATATGTCTTAAAAAAATAAAAGACAACCAAAACCGGTTTGGCTCAGTGGATAGAGCATCTGTCTGTGGACTGGAAGGTCCCGGGTTCGATTTTGGTCAAGGGTATGTACATTGGTTGCGGGCACATCCCCGGTGGGGGGTGTGCAGGAGGCAGCTGGTCGATGTTTCTTTCTCATAGATGTTTCTAGCTCTCTATCCCTCTCCCTTCCTCCCTGTGGAAAAAAAAAAAAAATCAATAAAATATATATTTTTTAAATAAATAAATAAATAAAGACAATGGGGAGGGGGGAATGAAAAACCACCTTTAATTTTTAAAAATTGTTCCTTATTTGCAGCACCCCTACCTCACTGCCTATCCCTTTCTAGCCTTGTCCTCAATCAGGAGCATTTTGCAAAACTGCCGGCAGAAGGCACACATCATCTCTATCCTGCCCCGGAGCCGCTCCTCACCGGGGAGGGCGTTCCGTGTGGCTACAGTCATGCACCCGCAGCGCGTCGTGCCTGAGCGACGATGTCCCCAGCAGCTGGGCCGCCGTGTACAGAGCCGTCGCCCTATGTGGGCTCCGCAGGTGTATTTTCTCTCCAGATAGTGCTGCAGAGAACATCTCCTCTGCAAAAGCTTTTTAATAATAAAAGATAGGATAATTTCCTTAGGATAGATGTCTAAGCATAGCACTCGTCAGTCACAGGCGAGGAGCAATTTCACAGCTCAGTACAAATTGCCACGTCGCTTTTCCAAGAAGACGGTGGCATACCAACCCAGGGTGGAGGACCAGCCACTCTTATCAAAAAGACACATCAGGGGGCTGTGACCTGGCTGCCTTTGACTTCTCTATCTGCCCCTCCCAGCCACCATGGACTCTGCGGGACCCGGCGGGGAGCCCTGGATCCCCAGGATGTGGGGCGTTTGGTGCAGAGCCAAGCCTGACCCAGGCAGACGGGGGAGGGGGGGGGGGAGGTGGTCAGCTTGGTGAGAGGCGGGCGGCATTTTGCCCTCAGAGGCCTGTGAGGAGAGAAGGAGCTGAGTGCAGGGGCTCCAGCACCAGGGCCTGTCCTCTCCTCCTGACCCACTGCTGCTAGAAGTGGGGGGTGGGGATCGTCTGCTCGTCAAATACTGGGGACCTCACCCCCGGTGACACACTGACACGAAGGGGCACCCCAGTGCCAGAATTGGGCCACACGCAGTAGGTGCTCACCAAATAGGTGCTCGTGAACTCATGGCTGGTCTGATCCTGCTCGCACATCCGCTGCTCTCCTGGTCTAGTGTACATGGGGTAAAATGGCACTTTCATCATAGTTTCTTTCTGTTGTTGTCAATTCTTACCCAAGGATATTTTTCCATTGGTTTTTAGAGAGAGTAGAAGGGAGAGAAGGAAGAGACAGGGGAAGGGAAAAAGAGAGGGAGAGAGAGGGAAAGGGGGGGAGAGAGAGAGAAAGGGAGGAAGGAAGGAAGAAAAGAAGAGGAAGGAAGGATAAAAGGAAGAAAGGAAGAAAGACACACCCCCACTTGCCTTGACTGGGGCCAGGGATCAAACTTATCAAACTTGCAACCCAGGTGCATGCCCTTGACTAGGAATTGAACCTGCAACCCTTCGGTGCATGGGCCGACTCTCTAACCACTGAGCAAACAGGCCAGGCCTCATCATAGTTCCTTGGACAGTTAGTCAGCTGCCCCAGGGCAGAGGCAGTCACCAGCTGTCTGTGTTTAAGACCATCACAGGAGCCTGTTTCAATATATCTCCCTCTTCCTTCCCCTCTGAAATCAATAAAAGTATCCTGGCTAATAAAAGGGTGATATGCAAATTAACCATCACTCTGTCACAAAGGTGGTGGCACCCATAACCACAAGATGGTGGCACCCAGTCCTCTCAGCCCCACGGGATTCCCCCAGTCCTGGAGGGGTGGCTGCTGAGAGCCGGCAGTGAGTGGCCTGGCGGAATGCTTGCTTCGTCGCCCCAGCGATGAGGCAAGCGTTTGGCTCCCAGTTGCGGATGGGCCTCTGGGCAGCAGGTGTGGAGAGGCCTGGCCCCGCAGAGAGTTACTGGCAGACGGATTCGTACGCAGGGCTCCTAGTATTAATAATAATAATTGCCGAAACTGGTTTGGCTCAGTGGATAGAGCGTCAGCCTGGGGACTGGAAGATCCCAGGTTTGATTCCGGTAAAGGGCATGTACCTTGGTTGTGGGCACATCCCTGGTAGGGGGTGTGCAAGAGGCAGCTGATCAATGATTCTCTGTCTTCGATGTTTCTAACTCTCTATCCCTCTCGCTTCCTTTCTGTAAAACATCAATAAAATATCTCTCCCTTTTTATGGAGATAAACATCACAGAACACAAACCACTTAAATAATAATAATAATAACAATAATAATAATAATAATAATAATGAAGGGCCATCACATGGCCTCCCCATCATGGCCCTGGTCCCTGTCACACCCAGCAGACCCCCTCTCAAGAACACTTGCTCCCTGTCGTTTTCAGGACTTCATGGGTTGTCCAGGTGAGAACTCCCGGACCCCGCTCAGTTCCCGCACCCCCCATCCCCCAAGACCCCCGATGTGTGCAGGTGCAGGTGGGGATTTTGGCCCCTCCTGAGGTTGAATGTTTCCTTTTCCTTTTTTTAAAATTATGGAACGCTTCATGAATTTGCGTGTCATCCTTGCGCTGGGCCGTGCTAATCTTCTCGGTATCATTCTAATTTTAGCGTACGTGCTGCTGAAGTGAGCCCGAGGCTGAACATTTCCTATAAATTTATTTACTCTTTGATTTTCCTCCTGCGAGTTTCCAGGCTCTGGGAGTTGCACACTTTTTTTGCTGGAAACTGGGTTCATGTGTCTCACTGGCAGCTTCTTTCTTGCCATGTTTTTGTTCTTTTCTATTGCCATGATGTGAAAGATGAATTTTTCTGTTTCTTTATGAACAAAAAAACAGGAAGAGAAAATTGCCATGCTGTGTTGTTCTTTTGAAGTGTGTGTGTATGTGTGTGTGTGTGTGTGTGTGTGTGTGTGTGTGAGGGAGTGTGTGTGCGCGCATGCCCATGCTGGCAAATATGGGTAAAATGCTGCTTTCTGAAATGCACCTGTGTGTGGAGAAATGCTTGTAGTGTGGGGCAGAGAGAGGGGGTGAGGTATGCCCAGGGATAGCCGGTGAATTAAGATGCACTCACTCAGCCCTAGCTGGTTTGGCTCAGTGGATAGAACACTGCCCTGAAGGGTCCTGAGTTCAATTCCGGTCAAGGGCACATGCCTGAGTTTCAGGTTCAATCCCCAGTAGGGGGAGTGCAGGAGGCAGCTAATCAATGATTCTCATCATTGATGTTTCCTTCTCTCTCTCTTTTCCTCTCTGAAATCAATAAAAATATATTTTAAAAAAGAAGAAGCACCCAGACTCTTGAGGGCTCCTTTGCGTGAATTCCACCCCTGTCCCTCACCTAGTGGACACTCAATATTTATTGAATGCATGAACTTTATCTCATTTCTTTCCATCCTTTTAAAGAACCACAACAGTCTTTTTGTTGTTATTGTTGTTTGTTAATCCTCACCCAAGGATCTCTTTTTCCCATTATTTTTAGAGAGAGACGGTTGGACTGGAGCCCAAATCTCCTGCCCGAACCCCACGGCTCTAGGGGGTTCTGATCACACTCAAGCTGGAGAGCTGCTGCCCTCGGGTGGGTGGTTCCAGGCAGTGAGACACCTGGGAACTGGCGTCCGGCCTCTGCCCTTCTGTGGCTCCCAGAGGATCCCCTGCCCCAGGGCCATGCTCTCAATCCTGGCAGCACTGTGTGGTCATTGCAAGCTTTAAGGAATAACAATGCTCAAGCTCCAACCCAGAGACCCCAATTTTATTGGCTGGGAGAGGAGGCATTGATGTTTGTATCTCTCTCTCCTCTCCCTTCCTCTCTGAAATCAATAAAAATATATTTTAAAAGAAAGAGTCTCAGGTTCCCAGATCTATATTGTGACGAGATCCCAGGGGACCTGTGTGCACAGAAAAGCTTGAGAGGCAGCACTAGTTACAAGTCAAAGTTAAAAGCGCACATTGCAATCCAGAGGGTCTCAGGTGGGATCAAGATTCTCCTGCCTTTCTGACAAACCCCAGGTGAAGCCGGTGTTGCTGGTCCAGGGACCACACTAGGATGTATACCCAGCAGTTAAACTGCCCGAGGATGCCTGGGCATCTTGAACTTTATCAGGTGTATTAGTGTCCCAGGGCCGACGTAACAGAATACTACCGACCAGGTGGCTTCAGCAACAGAAAGTCTTTTCTCATGGTTCTGGAGACTGGAAAGCCAAGGTCAAAGTGTCTACAGGCTGTTCCTGGGGCCTCTCTCCTTGGCTTATAGACGGCATCTTCTCCCTGTGTCCTCACGTGTGTGTGTGTGTGTGTGTGTGCGTGTGTGTGTGTGTGTGTGTGTCTATCTTCATCTCCCCTTCTTTTTAAAAAAATATATTTTATTTGATTTTTTTACAGAGAGAAAGGGAAAAGGATAGAGAGTTAGAAACATAAATGAGAGAGAAACATCCATCAGCTGCCTCCTGCATTCTCCCTCCTGGGGATGTGCCCACAACCAAGGTACATGCCCTTGATTGGAATCGAACCAGGGACCCTTAAGTCCACAAGCCGACGCTCTATCCACTGAGTCAAACTGGTTAGGGCATTCATCTCCCCTTCTTAAAAGGACACCAGATATTGGGTCAGGGCTCCCCATTATGACCTCTTCTTATCTGAACTACCTCTTTACAGGCCCTGTCTCCAAGCAAGTCACATTCTGAGGTGCTGGGGCAAGTGCCTCAACATGTGAATGAGGTTGGGACACACTTCGTCCTTCAACACCAAGTGAGGCCATTGCTTTCCAACCTGGTGGCACCATCTCACACCTGCCAGCAGGACGTCATTTAATGTGCACCCTCCCCCCCCACCACCCCAGTGTTTTAGTGAGATTGAGTTTATATGTTTTGCTTCTGCCTCAGGGAATTCCCTATTTACCTTGGCTCTTTTTTATTTTTTTTCAGTTGGGGTTAAGTATATCCTTCATATCACTTTGTAGGAATTCTTTGTAAAGCCTGGATTCTTACCTGCATTAAGACATATCTCATCTTTACACCAGAGTGTCGGTATCCTTGACTCAGAGGCTTTCCAATTCGAATGTACTCAAACGCACTGGGCACCGGGGCTTATCTTGTTTAAGAAATCCTCCCCTACACCAAGGCCATGGAAATGCTCTCTGATGTTTTCTACTAAATTAGCTCAAGTTTTGTTTCTCACATCTTGGCTTCGGTCCACCAGGAATTATTGGAGTGTGTGATGCATGAGAAGAATCTAATCTTGTTTTCCCACCTGGCGTGTCACTGGGAGCACCCACCCCAATCCATGCTCCGCTTCCCCTGTGGGCTTCGGCCTGGACATCCCGTCCCACGGCATCAACACCACTGTGCCCCAGGCTCCCCTCTGAAAGGCCTGAGCCCTCGGCACAGTGGTGTGGGTGGGAGCCTGCAGCTGGGGCTGTGTCCTTCTGGCAGGGGCTGCGGAGACGGGGACGGTGTTAGCCACCTGTGGCTACCATAACAGATTGCCACAGCCTTGGTGCCTTAGAATAACAGAATTGTATTCTCACAATTCGGGGTTAGACATCTGGAGTCCAGGTATCAGCAGGACTGATTCCTGCCCGGCCTCTCTCTTAGTTCCCAGAGGCAGTCAGTGACCTTGGCATTCCTTGGCTTGTGGGCGCATCACTCCAGTCTCCGGCTCCATCCCCACATGGCCTCCTCTTGTGTCTGTTCCCCTTCTGTTCTCTCCTGAGGATTTGCCATTGGATTGAGGGTCCCCTCAATCCAGGATGAGCTCATCTTGAGATCCTTAATCACATTGGCCAGAACTCGTGGTTTTTTTGTTGTTTTGTTTTGTTTTTTTGAACCAGGTCACATTCCCAGGTTCAGGGTAGATGGACATATGGACATATCTTTTGGGATCACCATTCAACCTGGGACCAGGTGTGAAATGGGTGGGAAAGGAGCCCTCCTCAACCATCCTTCCCTCAGTAGCAGGCACTTCCTCCGGATTCCCAGGCTCAGTGAATGGCACCCAACCCTCCTTTTCCTTTCATTTCCCACCCCTGCTCCTAAATCCACAGACAGGCTGTCCCACTCTTGGGAAATATGTCTTCAGGAACTGATTCAATAGCATGAAGAACGTCCTCTCTTTGTGGTTGCTTTGTTAATAATACTGAAAAGTTGGAAACAACCCCCAGGAGAGGAGGCAATGACTTAATTACTTCAACAACATTCATTCATGCAACCTCACCGAGAGATGGAGACGTGGGCTCCGGGGGAGAGAGCAGGGAACAGGAGGGGAACGTGCCGCAGGTGGGGACCACAGGCCACACAGTGCAGACGAAGGCATGAAGGGAACTCTTGGGTGTGACCCGGGGCCTTCAGCTGGTCTGGGTCCTTGACTCGGAGCCCTGGCATGAGCTGACTCGGTGGACCAGGCAGAGACAGGAGTGGGGAGGTGCAGGAGGAGGCAGCCTGCATGAGATCTGCAGGAACCACTCTGTCTCTCTCGGACCCATGAGTAGCCATTCAAATTACAAAAACATGGCCACACAGAAAGGCTTAGACTTAGGCAAAAAATAAAATAAAATAGCATAAGGTATGATTCAGAAGGGCGAAAAAGAGAATTGCCATGTGCTCCAGCAATCCTACATCTGGGCATATACCCCTTAAACAAGCAAACAGGGATTCAAACAAAGAGGGGTGTGTGCGCTTGTGTGTGTGTGTGTGTGTGTGTGTGTGTGTGTGTGTCTGTTCACGGCAGTGTTACTTGCAATAGTGAAAAGGTAGAAAGAACCCGAATATCCATCGATAGATAAATGGGTAAACAAGACGTGATTTATATAAAGAGGTAGGGCAAAAGTAGGTTTATACTTGGGAGTACATGAAACAGAGTTTATTTTTGTATCATTATTTTTTCGATTACATATTTTCCATGTGAACAACTGTAAACTTACTTTTGCTCTCCCCTGTATATACAATGAAATGTTACAAGGGTGAGCCTTGAGGACACGATGCCAGGTGAAATAAGCCAGTCACAAAAGGACGAGTACTGTGGGTTGCACTCACAGAAGGTACCCAGAGTACTCCACTTCATAGAGACGGAAAGCAGATGGTGGGAGCGAGGGAGGGAAATGGGGAATTAGTGTTTGATGGGGACAGAGTTTCAGTTTGGGAGACGAAAAGTTCTAAAGATGGTGGTGATGGTTGTACAGCAATGTGAGTATACTTAACGCCATAGAACTGGACACCTAAAAGTGGTCCAAATGGTAAGTTTTATGTTATGTGTATTTTACCACAATTTTTTTTTCAAGAAGGTTGCCTAGTATGGTAGCTGATTGGTACTGAGGGGGTGGGGTGGGGAAAAGGAGAGGGTGTGAGGAGGAAGGAGGGGGTTCAAATCCCAGCCAAGCTGGAACCGATTTGGCTCAATGGATGCAGAATCGGCTTGGGACTGAAGGGCCCCGGGTTCGATTCCGGTCAAGGGCATGTACCTTGGTTGCGGGCATATCCCCAGTAGGGGGTGTGCAAGAGGCAGCTGATCGATGACTCTCTCTCATTGATGTTTCGAACTCTCTATCTCTCTCCCTTCCACTCTGTACAAAAATCAATAAAATATATTTTAAAAACAAACAAACAAACAAACAAAAAAAACAAATCCCAGCCATGCCTCTTTGCA